CAGTAAACAAAAACAGTAAACACCAGTAAACAACAGTAAACAAAAACAGTAAATGCCAGTAAACAACAACAACAACAGTAAACAAAAACAACACCAGTAAACAACAACAACAGTAAAACCGCAGTGTACAAAACAAAACAGCTGGAATCGACTCTAACCTGCAGGAGCGACCTTTAACCTTTAGCCGCCGCTGTGTGGAAACACCTGGAAACACCTGGAGTGTCCTCGGTAGTCGGGTAAAGCTGCGCGCTCGGCGCTCACAGAGACAGCAGTCCCCGCGCGCGCGCACACGCACAGATCGTGTCTTTGCGGAAGCTCGGAGGAGCCGAGGCGGCGCTACAGCTAATTAGCATAAAGTAGTTGCCGCTGCGCTGCTGTGGATGGACGGCTGAACCGAACCACCGGAACCGACACCGCCTCACCACCGCCAAGGCAACGCCGAGTCCGGCCTCAGTTTGTCGGGATCGTGTCACCGTCCGCCTGCCGAGGAGATGGGGGACAAGGCGGGCACCAGGTAGGACGGCTAGCCGCCGTTAGCTCCTCGCGCTCCGCTAACGCTAGCAGCCGAGCCGTTGGCCCGGGCGGGCGGGGGCACATTTTCACAGGGCGGTGCTGCAGAATTTACCTGCTCCGTGGACAGGGGGCAACATCCGAACCGGGTCTGACCGAACCCCCCTCCCCGGGTCGTGTTTTCAGCCCCTGGAGGCGCCGAGCTGCTCCTCCGGAGGCGAGCTTAGCCCAGCAGGGTGGGGTTAGCTGGCCGCGGCGCGACTCCGCCGGACGGCTCGGCGCTCCGGGCTCGGTTCGGAGGTTCTGTACTGATCCTAAACGATTATTGTCGTCAGCGCGACACGGCGCTCATAAGTCAGACTGTTGGTTTTAGTGTTTTGGACCGGAACCCCCGTGGAAACACGGTTGTACAATGAACGGTGGTGGGCGGCATGGACACATGGAGCTCCTCCGCGAGCGGAGCTGAAAACAAACATTTCTGTTTTTAACCGACACGGAGGAGCAGCAGGAGGAGGACGTGCTCGAGTTCTCCTCGTCAGCGTGAGCCCCGCAGGCTTCCGTTAATCAGCTGGCCCTCCTCAGGCTTGATGGAGAAACAGTTTCAGCCAAAAAGCAGGAAACTGATTTTATTCTGCACTTCCTGCAGAGACACAGCTGAGGCTGTCATGGCCCCGTCATGATCTGACCAACATCTGGAACAAAACCCGTCATGATCTGACCCAACATCTGGAACAAAACCCGTCATGATCAGGCCCAACATCTGGAACAAAACCCGTCATGATCTGACCCAACATCTGGAACAAAACCCGTCATGATCTGACCCAACATCTGGAACAAAACCCGTCATGATCAGACCAACATCTGGAACAAAACCCGTCATGATCTGACCAACATCTGGAACAAAACCCGCCATGATCGGGCCCAACATCTGGAA